AGATATGAGTTGGGAACCAGGATGTCTGCCCAGATCAAACAGGATTCTTCTTCCTGTGCTTCCTAAAACAGAGACCATTTCTTTTGAATTTTGTCATACCTGATTTCAATGTTACATTTTTTTTCCTCTCATATTGCTATAATCTAACTGAACCAGCATCCCACCTTCAGAAGGCTACTCTTCTGGGATAATTTGATTTTTTCATGGTTCTCCCTGAAGATTAGTGTAACTACGCATATTTTTTCTGACTCACATAAGACAATCAATATTCATTTCTTTTTTTTTTTTTTGACAGAGAGATAGAGAGCACAAGTAGACAGAGTAGCAGGCAGAGGGAGAGGGAGAAGCAGGCTCCCCGCAGAGCAGGGAGCCTGATGTGGGACTCGACCCCAGGACCCCGGGATCATGACCTGAGCCAAAGGCAGCCGTTTAACTGACTGAGCCACCCAGGCGCCCTGACAATATTCATTTCTAATAAATTCTCTAGAAAGTGAATGCTTCCCTTGAGATAAACGGGGACTCTGGGATTTAGGTCAGCCAATCCAACATAGATGGCAAACTGAGGTGGTGGGTAGGCGGGGAAGGGGGAAGAAGAGCATCTCTTAGTGCAGGCTCTCCGTGGCCATTCCTGTCACCCCAAAGCCCTTTATCAGCCAAGCCTCCATAGACCCCCACCGCAGGTTCTTGACAGCACTGTCCCCCGACCCCCGACCACCTTTTCCTCCTCCACCCCAATTCACTGTCTGAGGGCTTCTGTCCCGGCTTGCCCCAGCGTCAGGGTTGGAAATCCTATTCCAGCGGACATGAAAGGCACCAAGTTTCCACCATCTGTCTGCCTGTAATTCTTACCCCTCATGTGATTCTAAGAAACAGGCTTTTCCCAGTCCCCCTCTCTGTTTACTCCTGCTGACTTTTTCTTGATTTGCCTCCAGGGGCAGGACATCCTGATACTATAGCTACAAAGAAAAGACAGGGGATAGTCTTAGAAACCAGAATTCTGCCCTACAAGAATGCCTAGGGGTATATGGAATCCCTAAACTGCTGGAGAAGGTCCCTTTGTTATAGGGGCTCAGTGGGTGAGAAGGTGGCGAAGAACTATTTTTCCCCTTTCTGACCCCCAAGTATATCCACTAGAAAGATATTGTTTTGCCTCAGATTTGTTTTGCATCAGCCTGAGGTTTGACCAAGGGTCAGAAAACCAGAAGAAATAATACCACATCATTTCGTTGTATTCAAGAGGATTTCTCTTATTTTCCCAAATACTTGGGTGTGAGGCCAGACAGAACTATTCAACTTGACAAAAAGACTGCTAAAATGATTGAAAATCCATTTAATTTTATTTAGAGTCATCTCAAGGTTTGCATGGTTAGTTAGATTCTGTTGATCTGAAGGTGTATTAAGTCTTGGGTTGCAATATTTTTACAAATGAGCCACATTTGTGATGGTTTATCCGTTATACGATAGTTACTTTTCCTGGTTATGCTGATTGAGGCATTTATGAAAAATAGAAAAGTGAACTTCTCTTAATAAACAAGTTTTTTCCTAATCAATTTTAAGAGGCTGAAAAGCAACGGCAGTGGATGTAATCTGTTCATGCAACAACATAGTTTATTTTGACCAAGAATCAGAAGACAGTGCTTCTAGTACTAGTTATGCTAGGAACACACTGAATAGCTAGCCTTGAGCACATCACCAAATCTCCTCCCTACCTCTGGATTGGGAGCAGTGCTATCTGAGGTCCCTTTAGCTCTAATATTCTGGGATTCAATCACTAGAAAGGGACTCATTTGCAAAAAAAAAAAAAAAAAAAAGAAAAAGAAAAAGAAAAAAACAATTTCTACAGTTTGTGACTATAGAATCTCTGTGCACCTTTGAATTCCCCCCTTGCCAATTCTCCTCATATTTAAAAAGGTCCAGAAAAGAAGTCCATTGCCAGCGGCTAATTCCCTAAATTTACTTCCAGTACCAGGATCTCATCCTGCCAAAATGCACCCCAACAGACTCCAAGAGGGGCGATATGCACCATCAGTCTCCCCAGTGCCATAGGCAAGAACTGGAACTTATATAGCATGCCCCTGGGGTCTAGGAGTAAAGGGCTGGAGCCCTCACCCATACTTCCTTGTGGACAAAATGTCTTTAGTACCAAATGGGGCTGAGAGCTTGGGGCACACCCAGTGTTCTCTACCCACAAGAACTAACTACCTTCACCGCTTATTGGCTGGATGACAACGAGCAAATAACTTAATTTCTCCATGGCTTAGTTTTCTCACCCATAAAACCGGGAAAAATAACTTTATCGTTCAGGGTTGTGAAGCGTAAAACTAAAACGGTTCATGCAAAATATCAAGAATAGAGCCTGGCACAGAGTAAGAGCTCAGTAAATACTAGCGCTGATATCATCATCATCATCATCATCATCATCATCATCATCATCCTGTCTCCCAGGATAGCTCAGCAATGGTGGAGGGGGCGAGGAGGGACACTTTGGTGTGGATTTGAAGTCTTCCCTCAAGAGTTACAGGAAGGACATGTTCCAACCTGTTTCTACAGGCAAAAGGGAAGTGGTCTGAGCACAAACCCAGGTAATAAGCACCCGGAAAGAAATGGGCCCTGAGGTGTCGGAAGCTAACTCTCCCGGGGTGACAGACTTAATTCTGGGATCCTACCTCAGGTATCCAGGTCTTTCGGAAGAAGCCAATGCTCTATCCCCCCCCTCCCCCACCCCGCGATGCCTGGCCTGTGAGGGTGTGGCCTTTGTGCTCAGGAGCTGCACCGGGAGTCTGCGCTGAGGGAATCCCCGTTCCCGCTCCTTGGGGCTCTGAAGCTTGCCGCGGGGAGACTGGGAGCTCGCTGCTCCAGGGGTGCCCCAGGATGGGAGTGACAGACCTCAGGATTCCTCGGCGGAGCCCTGACGAGTCGACGTCTCTTCCGGAAGGGTCTGGCCAAGGCGTGGGGCCCAGAAAAGGGGAATGCGCTGAGCTCTGCTCTCTCCCCGCTGGTTACAGGAGAGCAGCAGACTTATGCAGGGCAACCGCAGAGACGGCTGTGCCCCTAAAAGCCTGCACGTGGGAGGCCTGAGCAGGCAGGGCCAGAGGGTTTTAAACAGCTCCAGAACCCACGCAACCTCCAAATTCTTCTACCGGCCAGTAGGAACCGGGAATCGGACTCTCAGCCAAAGGTGCTGCTTGGAGAGGGGCGTGCACCTCCTCAGAGAGAGAAGGGTGAAAAGAGGTGCTTCCAGGCCTTTGGTAGCCCAGTGTGTTCCCCAGCTGGACAAACGGAGCCTGGGGGGGCTGCCCGTTCTTTGCAACAGCAGTCTAGGTCCCCTCCCGCAGATGGTCTTCCATTCCAGATTGCTGGGGTGCAAAGGAGGAAAGAGCCTTGCCTTCCCGCATCCACCAAAGCGTATGGAGCAAACAGAAAGCTCTACCTAGGGGCCCAAACGTGGACAGACCCACCTGTACCCGGGGTCCCCGGGCCTGGAAGCCAAGTCTCCCCTTACCTGATGCTCACACCCCCTCGCCTGCCCCGCACGCCCTCCAGCTCTGCGCTCTGGAGCCTGCGGGAGCAGCGTGGGGCTCCCCCACTCCTTCGCTCCGCCCAGGTGCAATTTGCGGAGAGGCGGGGGGGAAGGTGGCTCCCACTGCAGCCTCCGCCCCTGCTCTCTCCTCCAACCTGTTCGAACCCCTGTCTACTCGCTAGGCGCTGGGGACTCCCCCCTACTCCGCACACAAGCCTCCCCTGGGGGCCAGGAGTCCCCTTCCCACCCTGCGGCTGTGCAGACCTCTTTGAGTCCGAGCGCGGGGCAGGAAAGATGGGCGTGGGTCTACGGCCCCGGCTGTGGAGGTGGAAGGGTGTATAAGTGGGTGCCGGAGAAAGGAGCGGACCTCTTAGAGCAAGGAAAGGCATCCCTGGTCCATGATCCGATCACTCAGTCACCGCCTAAGATGCCAACGCATTCAGAATCTCGCCGGGAGGTTTGTTTCTCCTGGAAGCGAAGATCGCCCCATCCCAGGCACCCAGAAGCCTGCCTTCCCAAGTCCCCCTCGGGCTCTTGCATTCCAGGGCTCCATTCTGCCTCTCTGAGCCTCCCCAGGTGCCCAGCCCCTCCCCCATCTATATTTACACACCCGGGCCAGAGCACTCCGGACTCAAATCCTTTTTCCTCCACGTCAGGTGACCGCTCGGGACTGGCCCCTTGCCCACTTTAAAAGCAGAGCCCTTTGGTACCCTTTCAACTAGATCTACCCCCGACCCCCGGTTTCCTCCCCCCCCCCCCCCCCCACATTTTCCCCCCCCCCCCCCCCCCCAACCTTTCCCCCCCCAAACCCCTTACCTCCCCCCCCCCCCCCGGTTCTTCACTAGCCGTTCCCGCGGCGCACAGCCGCAAGCCACTCCAAGGGTTTTATTACCGAGTTGGGGGTGGCATTCGCAAGGATGGACCGGCTCCCGCCGTGCTAGAGAGAGCCCCAAGGGTAGCCGCAGCCTTCCCCCTCCCCCCGCACGTCCTACCCCTCCTATTTCATTATCTCTGCTCCTATCCAACCCCCACAGGCAGGATGAGCACTGCTGGGTCCCAAACCCTCGCCTCTCTAGCGGGAGCTGCAGGGAGTGAAAAGTCGACTAGCAAGAACACCGAGAGAGAAATGGGCAGATGCAAACGTCAGGGGGTGGTAGTGGGGGAGGACTGGGGGAAGGGCGCACGAGAGAACTAGACGTGCAACTTGCACGGCACGGGGTGAGCACCGCGCAGGGAGGGGGGCACAAAAGTTTGCAGACTATTGCACGGCAGCCGGCTGCACGCGAACAGAGGGTCGACTCCCCTTCGCTAGGAAGGGGTCTCTAACAGGATCGGCGCCGAGGGGACCGGAGGTTTGGACATGGCTATGACCTGGGGTGACAGTTCCCCTCTACTGTTATGGAAGGGACGGCCTAGGCACCCGGGCAGAGGGACAACACCGCGCTTTGCGAAAAAAAGCAACAGGCGGCTTGCACCTTACCTTGCGCCAGTCCCGGGCCGGGGTGGCTGCTCCATCCTCGTGGCGCAGGGAGGAGGCGTTGGATGCGTAACCCTGGGGGTGTGCGCCGCCAGAACTGCAGCGGCCGCTCTTCCCACCCCGCTGCTAGCCGGGCTGCCCACCCCGAACCGGGCCGGCGGGGAGGGCTCGTTCTGGGTCGCGGCGGCGGCGGTAGTGCGCGGCGGCTGGAGCGCGGGACGCGGGCAGTGCGTGGCTCGCTGGCGTCCTCCGGCGCCTCTGCCGAGCGAGGGCGCGGCCCCGGGCGGCCGTGCAGAGCACCGCTGGGCTCCCGCTTCTGCGGCTGGTGCTGCAGACCCTGCGCCCGGCCCCGGAGCCTCGCAGGAGGAGGAGACAAAGACGCGAGGGAGGCGAAGCGCCGCTCGCCCTGATGCTATCGTCTCAGTCACTAAAGGGGAATCGCCTCCAAACCCGGGCAGGGGAGGAGGGAGGAGGGGCGAGGAGGCAGGGGACTGGAAAAGCGGCAGGGAATGAACGTGACAGTCGGAGCCCTGCCGCCGCCTCGCCGGTGCTGCCCTGTTGCCATCCGGGAGGAGGGTCCGGAATGGAGAGGGAGGGCGGGGGCTGAGCGTTTGCTGCTGGAGGAGAGGAGCTGAGGTGGGAGTATTGGCTCCCTCCGACTCCCTTGCCTTCATTCGTCGCACCCTTCCCCCACCCCCCCGTGCATAGCTCCACTCTCAGGAAGCTATGGCCCCATTCTTTCTCCTGTTTTTCTAACTACTGAGATCAGAGCTGAATAAAACTGGCAGAAGAAGCATAACGTGGTGGTGATGGGTTGATTGTCCTTTCCTGGGGAAAAGGCGAAAGCTTAAAATCTATTTGACAAATGATTGCCTACTGGGTGCCAAGTACTGTACTAGGCTGTTCTGGGTAAGATGAATAAAGTGAGATATTCCCCCTGCAAGGCTCTATGATTGAAAATCAGAATGATTCTCTGCAGTTCCTGAAGCCCAAAGTTTTGGGGCTGAGTCGTGGCCCCTGATCCCCACCCCCAACCAGTCCAGTTTCCCAAAGCAGAAGGTGTTAGGAGAATTGAATTTGCCTTCCCATTGCAGGGATGACTGAATGTACAGCCAAAATGGAGTGTGTATAGTGTATATAGATCCTAAGAAAGTATGTGTGTGTGTGCGTGTTTGTTAAGATTAAAGTAAATTACTGCTTTTAGTAGTTCATATGTCATGATTTAAATTATTCATCAGATCTGCACCTAAATAAATAAAGGAATAAACAAACAAGAAATTTGGGCCAGATGAACCGGTCTTCCAGCCTCTACAAATACCACCTTCTTTGACAGCCCTTTTCTACAGCCCTAAGCCTTTACTTTAGGCAGAATTACTTCTCCCCTTCTCTTTGCTGTCACTATCATACTTGCCAATCACTTGCAGAATTCACATACTTATAGATTTTTTTATAGATTTCTATTGCTTTACTGTATTACTGCCTTTTTTTCTCCTTTTTTAGGATTATGCTGCAACATCCAGCCTTGTTTTGTAGCTAATGGGTACTCAGGGAAAGCTTAACCAGTTGAAGGTCATTTTCTCTTTTAAACACGGCTAAATCCCAGTATCTCCAGAATTAAAGGAACCTGGGTGATGAAATTTTTAAGAGTTTGGGGCAGGGGAGGACACATATAGTTCTACTCACAGTTCCATTGACCTAGAAACCTAAAACTATGTAATTCATTTGTGTTTCTAGACAATTTTCTTCTCCCACTGACAAGCCCACTCTGTTGAATTTCCAGAAGCAAGGGAAACCAAGCTGTTGGACAACTGCATAGAGCAAGAGATACATACTCAGCTGCCAACACCTAGAGCAAACCCACTCCAGGTGGAGAATGACCAAAACCTCTTTGATCGTTTCATGACCTGTGTCAAGTGTGTTGAAAGCTTGTCAAAGTTTCCTCATTTCCAATGAGGCTTTCTTTGTGGATGCATTTTAGAATAGTTTGAACAGTATTTCATTGCTGAGAGGTGAAAAACGTGCTGTGTTTAGGGATATTTAAAATAGTTCTTTAGGGGAACCTGGGAGGCTCAGTCATAAAGCGTCTGCCTTCGCCTCAGGTCATGATCCCTGGGGCCTGGGATGGAGCCCCACATCCGGCTCCCTGCTGGGCGGGAAGCCTGCTTCTCCCTCTGCCACTCCCCCTGCTTGTGTTCCCTCTCCCGCTATCCCTGTCTCTCTGTCGAATAAATAGATAAAAAATAAAAATAAATAAAAATAAAATTGTTCTTTATTTTCTGTGCCCACTTCCTAATCATTGTAGGATGGATACCCTAGATCAGGGATGCTCTATGAAAAGGGTCCATAATGTGTAGGAGATTAGAGAAAATGACTGCTATGTTTCTAAGATGATTCTGTGATTGGAAAGGTTGTGGGTTTTTTTTTTTTTTGGTTTAAGTTTTGCTTTTTAATTTTGTTTTTTTAAGTGAAGTTTTAGGACCCAGACACAGGTACATATGGATGGCAATTTGGTATAATTTTTCTGAAGGGAAATATGATGTTACTCTTGAAAGCATAAAATTTTTGCATGCCATGTTCCCTAAGACTCTACTCCTAGAAATTCATCATTAGGAATAAATAAGGATGTACAGTAAGATTTATCTACAAGGATATTGATTGCAGTGTTGCTTATTCTAGTGAAAAACTGAAAATAAACAAAACCAAATTGAAATGTCTAACAAGATAGGAATGGTGAAATATTTTGTAAGTCTATAAGTGGAATATTGGTCAGACATTAAACCCTGGTTGTAAGTGAATGAGTGAATATTGTCAACAATGACAGTTATGATTTTAGATGCAAAAAAATCAGATGCACAAGATGAGAGATACAATAATAAAAATTAATATCTGGAGTCAACAGATGTAGGTTTGGAGCTAGACATTTCTTCTTGATAGTTATGTGATCTTGGACTTGGACTTCCAAATCCTCAACTGTGTAATTGGTTGATGTCATTTACCTCATAGTGCTGTGTTTTATATGAAATGGTATTTGCGAAACACTTACTACAGTGCCTACTACATGGTAAAATCTCAATATGTTTTTCTCTCGGAAATCATTAAATTTATAAATGTTAATACCTACATATATTTAGGCTCTTGTCAAGAGTAATATACATTCCAGTATTAATAGCGGTTATATTAATACAGGGATTACGGGTATCTTTTTAAAAATATAAGGTAATCAAAAGCAGAGGAATTTGTTTTTAATTTAGTTTTCTTTTCACTAAAAACAAATAATTTCTAACTATTGACATAGGAAACCTCAAGACTTGGATGCTTTCTGCTCTAGTTGATTCACATGATCATCAACAAGACTTGCTGACCATTGGTGTCGCCCATGCGATAAAAAGGATAAATGACAGGGCATGGAGTTTGTCACCTCTGATATAAACTTAGATTTGTTTTGTAGTAACCAGGAGTCAAATCCAGCTCAGCAAAATATGCTGTTTAATACCAGGAGCTGATTGGTTGCTGCCCCTGACTTGTCTTGACAGCCTATAAAAAAAAGAAGAGAAGAGAGGAGGTACCAGAAGCTATATTTGTAACTTGATTAGTGAATTAAGAAGGAAGCCTAGCATTGAAGGGCCATGGGATTCAATGACCTTCACACCTACAGCAGTGGCCCCTCTGGGCCAGAGGTGGAGCTTTTGTAAAACTTATCGTGTGTTTTGAAATGTTTCAGAAATGTGGAGGAAAATATGATTTGCTTGTGTTTTCAGTTTAACTATCTTTAGAAATAAGAGTAAGTGTTTTAAAATCAATATATTCCAGGGCGCCTGGGTGGCTCAGTTGGTTAAGCGACTGCCTTCGGCTCAGGTCATGATCCTGGAGTCCCGGGATCGAGTCCCACATCGGACTCCCTGCTCAGCGGGGAGTCTGCTTCTCCCTCTGACCCTGCTCTCTCTCTCTCTCTCTCTCTCTCACAAGTAAATAAATAAAATCTTTAAAAAAAAAA